ATTATACTTCCGATGCTCGCGTTGCGTTTTATATCGCCAATTCGAAAGTGATTTATCCATTGTCCTATTCTTCCGAATCAAAAATGCAAGTTGTTTGAGTAATTTGTATGACAGAAAGTCTTGGAAACCGATAATGCAGAAGTTAATAATATTTCGTGTGTTCGCGGTATTTCACATCGCGTACGGGAGTGCCGGAAATTTCGCGCGATCGATGATTTTCGCGAGTGAGTGTTGTGTAAGTGCAACAAAGAAATCTGAGAGGAGGAGGAGGTCGAGGAGGCATCGGGCAACGGCGGAGAAATCGTAAGGTAAGTGTCTTACATTTTTATGTTATTTAATTGTTACTTGTGCAAAATAAAGCATCTCTGTTCTGTGTTTTTATTTTATTTATTCAAATGATTCGAACGAGGAGTCGAATAAGTGTTAGAGACAAAACCAATGTATAAAATTTTGTGAATTTATATTTAAAAGGAAGACTTTTTCAGTATTTTATATAATTATCTTAATAAATACCTATTTTGAAAAATATAAAATATGAAGCATATTTAGTACAATAATTTCGATTTGACACAATTATAGTCTATACTAATCATATACATATTTGTATTTTTACAGTTTAACATACATGATGTACAACTCTGCGGTTGCGAATCGTATCAGTGAGTGATAAATTACTTTTTATTTTAAATTGACGTTGCGCATACAATTACTTCGTTGCATGTATAGAAATTCTTAAAAATATACAATGCTCAACTACAAACTGCGCGCGCGAAGCGCGCGTTTGGTCATCTCTAGTTAAAATAAAATTTTTAAATTAAAAGTTATCTATTCTTTGATATAAATAGTTAAATTAAAGCAATGCGTGTTTTAATTTGTGTATTATTTTTGAAATTTAAGTTAAAAAGCTATTAGGAGCCACATAAGGAATAATTTGCTTGAGTAAAGTAATATTTTTTTTGGATCGAGATAGTTTTTTTATCAGTGTGACCAAATTTAGACCAAAACTTTGCGCGCAAGTGAATTCGCGCGATAGCGTGTCGGGGGAGAGATCTATTTTTGTCCGAGGCCAAGAAAAAAAAGGGAATATCCGAGCGAGGTAATTAACGGCCGTGAGACGCGATTCGTTTCCTAAAATCCTTTCATCCTTCCCCTCGTTACGTTACATGACGCGATGGTTACATTATCGTAAGTAGGAGCAACGGATTCCTGTAAACTCATCGCCCTAATTGTACCGCGGACGGAAAGTATAACGCGAAGCGGTTCGGCGATCTTCATCATCGAAAATACGCTTAATCGACCGTGTTACGAGTTGCGGCGCGCACGTATTTCCAGGTAACGAAATTAAGCGCGCTATTACCTTGTATAAAAGAACGTTTCAGCGGACGAAAATGGACACGAGAAGCCGTATTTCTCGTCCCACTCCCCTAACCCCGTTCCCTCGCGAGCAGCGTAAAGAATAGGGGGCGATAAAAGACGAGGAAATCGAGACAAGATATTCGTGCTCTGATTGAGAACCGGGATTGCGTTACGATCTGTCGATGGAGCGCTCATTAAGCCACCCTTTTCGTCGGCCTCTTTCTGCCGCGACATTTCGAGTGATCTCGCGGCCATTAACGCGATTGCTCAATCAGGAAAGCCGAAAAGAACGTTGATCTTATCGGCCCTACACGAAAAGAAATGTAGCTTCCGCTAAAAACTGCCTGTGTCAACTAAATTGCAGTTGTAAAATAGGGACAGCTATTATAATATTTAGTTGTGATAGCTAAATATTTTGCCACCGTATTACCTATTATATTAGACGCGACAGCAAATCGTTCGCTGTGGTTTAGAAATCTATAGTTATGGCAGCAAAGTATTTTTAGCAAACCATGATTAGCTACGGCAGCGAAAATTTTTCTTTCGGTGCAGCCGTTCCCCGTCGAAAAGACGCAGCCTCCTTTCGCGAATCTATCTCTTCCGACACACTTATGATACTTTCCCAGTGAAAAATTTTTCACGCGTGAGTACGCATAAATGTATAGACTGGCAAATTCTAATTAAAGAAATTTATTGCAAAAATATTAGCCAGGGTTTGAACCCTGAGGTAATATTTTCCGCAATAAATTTCTTAATAAGAGCACGTATAAATCTATACAATTCTACACAGCTGTATAAAATTATATAGAAATAACAACGTAAAAATATGTATGGACATATTTCATGTATAATTTTATACAATACTAGAGGAAAGTTCTGTATGATGAGATAGCAGGTTTTCGATACCTAAATCCAATCACAAATCTTTCTCGCGACGATCACACAATCTAACAGTGAATTTTTCACTAAACAGATTTCGCTCCAAGGGCAATAAATTCATGGTGGAATCAACAGATGATGCCTATTAATTTGACAGAAACCCTGCTATCTCGTATTAGGTGTTTATCGCATAATAGGGGCCTTACCTTTATATATTTACGCATACTCGTGCATGAAAAATTTTGTATCGGGTTTTATAATTTGCAATTTGAAGATGAATTTTTTTAAATAAATAACGATCAGTTACGGGAGGCTTAAAATACCGTGGCTTACGCACATTTGCGCGATGTAAACGACAAAAAGAGCGGACGGAACACACGCGCGGGCAGGATAGAACTCATTGTTCGGTAAACGGCGAAATTAGCTCAACGATAATTATAGAAGTGCGTGAGGAGATATATCGGCGAAAGGGAATACATCAGTAAAAAAGCGGCGACTACTCGCTGTAAACTGTACAGTTTGCTTTGAGACGCCGATCGAAAAAACACACGGGCGAAGGGAGACGAGGAAATAGAAAGAGAACCTTCGTAGAGGGATAGGCTGTCGTCGGCTGACGTTTATTTTGAGACATCAATGCGAGTAGCATGAAAGAAACGCGCGAGAGAGCACAAGGAAAATACTACGGATCGCTATTTCAGGTGTTCGCGCCGCGCCATTAACCCGTTTCACCCAAACTTCCTATAACGATCCCCCCCTGTTTCTTTCACGCTGGCTGAAATAATCAGCAGCGATAGGCGACGGCAAGTGTTCGACACTTGATTTCGCATTAAAAAAAAAGCGCTTTTTTCAACGGCGCAAGAGCACCGTCGTACGGAATCAGAGTATTGCTATCCTCTCCAACACTATAAAAAAAGTATGTAAAATTACCTACATAATAAGTGTAGCGATTACACTATTAATAACGGAAATATATAAATTTATGTACTTTTACAAGAAAATTTTTTGCTACTCTTTGTTGTGTAAATACTTGTTTATACATGATAAAAAATTACAAAAAATGGTAAAATTTACACATTTGTTATGAATATACGATTTCTAATTGTAATAATCTATATACATTTATAGAATATTCGGTTAGAATATTCTGAAATTAAGGGGATGCTGGAGTGATTCTGCACTTTTGTTACCTTTTGCTCCTAGAACTGTCAATTCGTGAAAACATTTGTCTAATATACAAATTATGTGACTTTTGTGTACAGACCGACAGTGTCCCACTATTCAGATTAAGTGAAAGAACAGCACGGCATCATTGAAATTTAATTTAGGAGCTTAACAAGAAGTCTATTCACTCGAGTAAGTTATAGGGTTACCTAACCTATAACTTATTCGAGTGAATAGATTTTTGTTGGGTTTCTAAACTTAATTTCAATGATACCACGCTGTTCTCTGATCTAGTCCGAATAGCGGGTTCACTGTCGGTTCGTACACAAAAGCCACATAATTTGTATATTACACAAATGTTTTCACGAATTGACAGTTCTAGGAGTAAAAGGTGCCAACAGTGCAGAATCACTCCGGCATCCCCTTAAGAATATTTGCGCTCCAGAGGAATATTCATAGAACTATGTGTGCTGTCTGGGTTGTATTAGGTGCGACAGCAAACCGTTTGCCGTGGTTTAGAAATTTATAGTTACGGCAGCAAAATATGTTCAGCAAACCACAATTAGCTACGGTGGCGAGCATTTTTTTTCAGAGTGTAATTTTCAAGTAAATCGAATTACATAATTTATAACATACGGCGCGTTGTGTAACGCGTGCACGCCAGTCGTGCAGCCGCGCGTGGCACAGTTTAACTTTCCGGGGCCGAAAAGGCGAGGATCAGCGCGATCGACCCGGCCGTCTTTGATCGTAATCGTCTTTGATCGAACGCACGAGGCTCGCGCGCGCCAGCCCCAGCCCTCAATGACGAAGCTGTAGCGCATTGTTATACTTAAGGTTTCTTTCTTGGCAATGGACTAGATGGGTAAGCCTTCGGCGAGCGGCGCGCGGGTCGCGAGCGGAAGGATTGATGGACGAGTAACTCGCTTACGAGTGCAGCGCTAAAAGCACCGGTACGTTTTATGGCCCGTACGCAAACCGCACATTCGACGCTAAACGTGGGTGCTTGATGTTTCACTTGTCTAATAGACGGCGCGCGCTCGCGGGGGAGGCATCGGACTATTACATTTGGCGTTAAATAGACGCGTATAAATTTTGATGGGGATCACCGAATCGCGCGAATAATATATCGTTCTGCGTAGCGCGGCCGATTTTGCGTGCGGGCGATGTTTCGATATCCGCACTTGCGAAAACAGCCGCGACATACATCACGGTAGTCGCGCACGCTCGGCAGCGTGTTATTATTATTCGGCCATCCAAAGTTGCGCTCGTTAATATTATTAATCCGCCGTTCGAAATTTCACCCGTTAACATTTGCATACGTTTGTACCCACACGCGTGCATCTAGCTCTTTCGATTTACGCCCGAGTCTCCACTAAATCACGCCGAGATATCTGAATTTTCGCGCGCACTCAGTGAACAGTGTGCATCGATGAACTCGCCGAGTGCATGCGACCGAGATCGAGAACGGGAAAAATCTACGCGCGTAGATTCCGAGAAGATGTGAGGGATATCGCGTGGTATAAGGTGTTACTACAGGGCGACGTTCCAAGCATATCCCTGGTGAGTTTTACATAAGTACACGGAGAGAATTTTCTCTGAAAATTTATCGTGGAAATCGTATCCCGAGTAGAAATGAAATCAGGCATGCCTTATGTATGATCAGGGCCCTATCAGGGCTGTCCGATGAGTGCCTGATCAGGCATTAAGGCATCCTTATTAGGCTCCTACTAGGACGCTACTAAAATTGCTGAATGTAACTTGTAACTGCAGCTGTAGTTAGATTTTTAGCGAAAAAAAAACTGTAACTGTAACTAGATACTTTTGTAAAGTAACTTTCCCAACCCTGGTAAAATTTCAAAAAGCTCTCATGAAGTTGTTCAAAATGCCCTGTCGTCCCACGATCACGTGACTTTCAGGATCAATTTTCAGAGAAAAGTCTCTCCGTGTACTTGTATAAAACTTACCAAGGATATACTTGGAACATCTTCCTGTACCACCTTATATCTCGCGATATCCTTCGGATATTCTCGGAATCTACACGTGTCGATCTCTCTCGTTCTGATTATTCAAATGATATCGCTGTTAGGAAAACCTTTTTAAACAAAAAAAAAGGTAAAAAAGGACGGCAAGTGTAAGCGGTATCCAGTCAAGAATTATATGGTTTAATTTAGGAAAATTGGGGCAATAGTTGATCGATTACCTGTATGAACAGCATGAAGCAGACCCACTGGTAGTATCTGTACTCCTTCCGCTCGGTTTCGGGATACGATTTGGAATTGTCGACGCCGGGAAAGGGCACCTCCAGGCCTTCTCTCTTTCGGTACGCCGCGGTTATCGTATATGTGCTGTGTATCCAGCAGTAAGTGTTGAGGACGTCCTCGGGCAGGTCCTTGCTGTGTATGCAGTCGATGGGATTGCCGACGTACTGGCGGGTCGTGACGATCAGGGAGAACGCTATCAGCAGGATCACAGTCAGGCTGTAATGCAAGCGGAAGACGGGGCTGTCGATGTGGACGTGCGAGATTTTTATGAGACTCTTCAGGCCGCGAAATATGTCCAGCATCTTGGTACCAGAACGATACCAGAGTAAGAGATCAGAGGCTACGCCGGGCCACGGCGATTCCTCAGAATAACGCAGGACTCCGTGCCGGTCCACGTCGCGCTATACCGTTCTTTTCCTACATCGTCCACCGTTCCCGATTGCGCGCTCGTCTCACGGCCGCGGTGGAGCTTCTTCGCTTCTCGTCCACTTGTTCACACCCGCGCGCGGCGCGAATCTGTAACTTGAAGCGAGGGTCCCGAAAGCGCGCATCGATCTTGCTAAAAATCGTTAACACTGTGCATTGTCTTGTTTAGTTTATATTTCCCAACTTCCGTAGCTTCCCGGAAAGAGATCCACTTTGTCACTTACTCGTTTACTTCGGTTACAGTCTCTCTGCAGCTCCTTTCTAGCTCGCAAGGAAGTATCTTCCTCCGATCGTCGAAAAATATATATATATATATTGTATATATTTTATTTGCATCGCATTTTAATAATCACTCTGGCGTTTTTAATAGATCTATACGTATATATACTATCTTTGGTCGATCCTTTGGTCGATCGAGAACTCTCAAGTGTTATCTTCTCGTGCGCTTCAAGTCTTATCCTTAATTAATGCTACAAATACTGTCTTCTTAAGTAGCGACTATTGTTCATCTTTGGCATTCGAATCTTCCGACCAACGTAAGTCTCACATTTCTCCCCGCAAAGAAACGCGGCAAAGTCCTCTCTCACCGTGGCGTCCTCTCCTCCTTCTTCGCATCTACACGACGCCTCGTTCGACGAACGAGCGTTTCCTTCGGGAAAGTTTGCCGCACGGGCGATCCCTCGATCGCCGAGTCGCGTCGCGATCGGCGCTGACGGGCCTCTTCGAATAATCCGCTGCTCCTACGGCAATAGTCCTCCCGCGCATTCTTCTCGTATTATGATTCACGCTCGTGTCGTAGCTCCCTAATCACGGCTGCTCGAGTGCGCGAACACTCGTGTGGCACCGTCGGCCGCGGTGACACGACGCGCGGACTCGCCGATCTCGCGCATCTCTCCGCCGGGGTCTTCCGTCTCGAAGAACAGGCCGGCGAGATGCGAGCTCTTAAAATACCTTATCTCACGATCTCCCTCGGGTATTCTAGAAAGGAGAGTTTCCGTTCAGAGTCTCACTTTACGCCTCCGCTGTCATTTGCGCGAGTAAATTACGAAGCGATCGTGCGCTTTGAAATGTTTACGCGCGTCCTTCGCGGGTTACCGAAATTTGTACCGCCGGGGTATTCTGGGAAAGTGTCCGCGAAGGCGCGAAAAATCTTTACGGCGCCCTCCCCCCCTCCCTCCCCCGCTCTCGCGGTTGCGTCTCCCGTCTTACATTTTGATGCCGCAATAAAGTCACCGTAAATTCTTCGCCGTTTCTTTATCCCCTTTTTTTTTAAAACGTCAAGAGGCAGCGAATATGATTTGTCTTATCGAAAGCCCGACGCTGTCATCGTCTAATTCGGAAGCATCCTCCTTCGTGAAGCGAGAAGAGAGCGGATACTGACGCGTCTCGGTAAGTTTCAGAGAAAGCGCACGAAAATACCCGCCCGCGACTCATCGCGTCGCGATATTTTCTGCCCCGAGAGTTAATTAAATTATAATTTATAAAAAAACCGTTAAATGTACCGTAAAAATGGAAAACTTTTCAATATCAAGGGAAGACTTTTGTTAACGTTCAATACGAAATTTTTTTCTAAAAATTATTAAAATAAGCACATTCCTGATTTTTGTTTCGATAAACTGATTAAAACCTATATAAAGTTATGATTTATAAAAAAGTGTATCGTAAAAACGAAAAACTTTGCAATTGTCAACATTTAATGAGAAATTGTTTTCTAAAAGTTATAAAACTAAATTCTTGATTTTTGTTTCGAGCAAATATTTATCAAGTGTAATTAAAACCTAATTAAATTATGACTTGTAAGAAAGTGTATCGTAAAAACAGAAAACTGTGCAATGTTAAGGCAAGACTTTTGTCAACGTTTAATGTGAAATTTCTTTCTAAAAATTATTAAAATAAGTATATTCTTGATTTTTGTTTCGATCAAATATTTATCAAGTGCAATTAAATTAATTATTACCAGGAAAGCGTTATTGCAAGCAAGAACCTGTGAGTATTAAGGAAAGATTCTTGCCGATGTTTATTGTTAAAACCTTTCTCTTGCAAAAACTATTAAAATATAATGAGACTGTTTCTGACTTCTGCGTGCGTGTTTCCATGTTTCGAACGCAGCAAATATTTACTGTTCCGGGAACAGGGGGGGCTTTCAAAGTGTGACCTGTCGAAAAAAAAGATCGATTCCTCTTCACGCTCCGCGGCGAGCGATTCAATTTAGATCGCACAAGGGAAAGATATACGATTACGCGTTCACCGTAAAGGCGGGATTAATTCCGTCCGACGGACTCGCGAACGAACTCTCGATACGTCCGCGAGTGAGTTCGCGTTTTATTTCCGAACGATTTCAAGATCAAGTATGAACCGGTGACCGGACTATTTTCAAGGTAAAGTATCGCCCGATACAAAACCGCGCGTTTGCTTCGCGCGAGCCGGCGAAATTATCGCGCGCGCCTTCTCCGGGACGGACTCTAAAGCCTTGTCCACGTTCCTGCACCTTTTGTGAAAAAGCTGCGAGTTCATTGGCTACACATTTCTCGAGACTAGAACTTTGCTCTTGAATCGTGGACGCGAGGCTCAAGCGGGCTTGGTATTCGCGAAATTTAAGCGACTCAATCAACGAGACGAAACACTGTTACGCGCGCACGACAGCCGCGGCGGTTCTTTGTCGACGTTACGAAAGTATAAGGGTTCCCTTCGACCCGGTGGAGTTGTGTTGTTGGGCCCGTGCCAAGATAGGATGCGCTCGCCGTAACCATTTTAGAGTTGAAACGTTTTTGGGGAAAATAAAACATTTTACACTTGTTTCCGCGCACGCTCGCGCGAACGGCTCCGTCGACGTTTTAACGGGGCAATCGTGGAAATATGGAAATGAGAAAACGCCGAGGTGTGCCAAGACCATCGAACGCTCCGAAACGTAAAGAAACAGTCCGCGTTGGACATTAACGAAATTCTTCTTCTTCCCCTCCTTTCTTTTTCCTCTTTCCTTCGGGCTAAGCGTGAATTCCGGATAACCCTGGTGGTTCTTCTCGCGTGTCATCGGCAGTCGCTGCATAAATCTTGCCGGGAAGTGGCCTACGAAAATCAAGATAAACACTCCACCTGCCTATTAATACCCGCAGAAATGTTAAGTGTAAAATCCTATACGACGTAACTAATAAGCGGTTGGTATCGCGGACGCGCTCATGTTACGCGGGCGCGTATCTCGTTAATCGACTTAGGCGCGTTATAATTTATATACACAGTCTTAATTTACATATACAATAATTATCTCCTATACTTTCAGTTTCGCGATGTCAGATATAGACGAACGTAAGAACCAATATCAATTTATGTAACTCTCCCACCGTCCTGCCAATTAGCCGCCAATTTCCTGCTAATCTCTGCGCGGCGATGGCCGGGCGCAGATAAAGTTAATTCTTGAATATTAGACTCGTTCCCGCCGCCGCCGCCGCCGCCTCCCTCCCCCCCCCCTCCTTCCCACCCCAAAGCGGATATCCGCAGTCCCGTCTTTCTTATTTGAGCGTATTTCTTACTTCGCGGAGATGAGCAACGTACGCGCGGCGTAAATACGACGCGAGCGTGGTCGGGAGAAACTTTTTCCAGATGCGGCTGAGCGATAGAGAGTATCGCGGATGATAAGTGAGACAAGTGGTACCGGCGGATACACAACGAGCACGGGGATTGCGAAGTCTCGGCGAAATGCTCGAGGGGGCCCCCGCTTTATTTATAACCAGCGCGATGGGGTCTCCTCCCTCCCTCTCTCCTCTCCCCTCTCTCTCTCTCTCTCTCTCTTTCTCTCGTAATTTTTTTTCCCCCCCTCGAGTCCCATTAATGCCACGAGCCGGCGGCGGGCTCGGGCAAGCGAAACGATCGAAAACTCCGCGGCAATTAACGCACCGGCCACTTCAAAGGCACATCCGCTTTGATACGACCCCCGGCCTACCCCCCCTCCCCCCGCACCACCTTCCGCACCCCGTCGTAGACCTGCGTCGCGCCTCGCCGTCGCTCATGCCGCCGAAAATGTGCCGGGCCGGGCTGGGAAATTAGGAGACCCGTAATGCCGTTTGACGCGCGCGCTATTCTATTTTAGCGTTTACGCACGCGACTGCACTTCGCCGCCACGAGCGAAACCGCCCGGCGGTAAACGGAGCGGATAAGCGCTCCTCGGAAATACCTGAGGGCAAGACGAGAAGCGAGAGAGAGAGAGAGAGAGAGAAAGAGAGAGAGAGGGGTGCGCCCCGCGGACTTGCCCGCGTTTTCCGCGCGTCTGTCACTTTTAGGGCCAGTTTCGCAAACTGCTAACCGAAGGTTAATTGACTCCCTGCCTCTTCTTAAATAATGAGATGGAAAAAGATAGGGAGTCGACTGAACTCTGGTTAACAGTCCCTCTACTCTGGCCAGCGGGGCAGTTTCGGCAAAGTGAGGGAGAGAAATATATTCCCCTCTCGCTCCACGTACAGCATGTGCAGGGTTGTGAAGTAACTCGTTACTTGTAACGAAGTTGCAGTTACAGTTACTTTTTTTAGTGACTCTAACTTAACTTCGTTACTTTCTCCCCCATCTGTAACTGTAACCCAACTCAGTTACATTTTTGCGGTAACTAGTAACTAATTGAACAGTAACATTAATAGTTACTTTATATATTTTTAAATTATATATTTTAAACCTCCACAGATCGCATTAGCTCTTGCATTTGCGCATGAACGCTTTTATCGACACTTAATAATTCAAACGCAGATCTGGTATTTTTGGTTTCACTGCAAGAGAGTAACTGCAGAGTAACGATTCGTTACATTTTGAGTAACTGTAACGCCGTTACTTTTTAGAATTGGTAACAACTCGTAACTGTAACTATGTAGTTACAGTTTTTTGCGAAAAAACTGTAACTGTAACTAGACACTTTTATAAAGTGACTTTCCCAACCCTGAGCATATGCGTCATTTAGAGTGAATCTATTTCTTTCTCCCTCGCATCATTTTGCCGAAACTGGCCTGCTGGCCAGACTCTGATTGGAGGGACTCTAGTCAACAGTTAAGCGACGTTTGTGAAACTGGCCCTTAGGGTGGATTCACACCACCCCGGGGCGACGGCCGTTCCGATCGGAAGGCAGAATCGCCATTTTATAATTGCAGGACAGTCTCATAATTTGTCAAGCCACGTTGCTGATGGCCAAAACAGCGTGCACTTAATCCTTTGTGTCCCAGTTTTGATATGAGTTTTTCGCTGTTTTGAACTTTTTGCGATTCACGCAATAGGCTATTTTTAAAGATATGGGATACAGCAATTAATATTATTAATATCCTGACTGAGGTAATATTTTTCGTTTTTTTATTTACTTTTTAAATTATTTTCTACACAATGGACAGCTATCTGTAAATATTTGTGCGTATAATAAAACGTTCTTTTTCTCGTATCGTGAATCTCGGGCCGCAAAGGGTTGAAGCCAGTGACTCATCTACGACGCGCGATAGAGATTCGGATAAGAAACTACACGGCGCGATTCGATCCCGTTGCGATAATTCGATACCGTTGTCAGGCGAGAGTATCCAGAGGATTGTTTGTTACGCGAAAGCACCGTGTCAGAACTCGATCCACGGCTGACGATGGATGTATCGGAATATTTGGAGCGGAATGCGATCGTTTCGTGCAGCGCGAATCGAATAATCATTTATCGCGCGGGGTCGTATCTTGACTTTAACTGCAACCGCCGGACATTTTCTATCGTAATGTTTCCGCGAACGTTTAATCGAATCGCAACCGGATCGCAAATGGGATCCGCGCGCACGATCATCCCCGCTGGTGTAAATCGAGCCTTAATGCGCCCTGCCCCCCCCCCCTGCACTTCGCCCCCTTCGAGGCTCGTTCAGAATGTTTATCATCCGCGTTCTTTACAGTGGTACTAAGTACGGGCTATGGCAATGCCATTCCGTGACTCTTTTAGCCCGTATATACCCTTAAGATGCCATTGCAGACATACCTTGAAAAGCGCTGATGGTAATCGCGCAAAGTCTTTCAGATTGCCGGCATCACTCCCCGGACTTTATCTCCGCGGTGATGCTGACAAAGGAAACCTTTGCAGGAAATCTAAAATACAATCAGATGAGAAGCGTCCAAATCCGACAATGTATTATCGCGTAAGATAATTTTACTTCCAGAAACAATATCAGTGCCTCAGAGATAAACGATGTTGAATCACATTCTCTGTAACAACGAGGTTTTTTATAACTTTTTAATCAGTTCGTCAAGCTTTTCTTGTAAAAAAAAATGTGAATTAACGTTGTTTCCGAGGCACTGATATATGTATATAAATTTCCAGGGTTAGGAAGTAACTTGTAACGAAGTTACCTTTTTTTGGTAACTCTAGCTTGACTTCATTACTTTCTCTCCATCTGCAACTGTAACTTAACTCAGTTACAGTTTTTTTCGATAACTAGTAACTAATTTTATTAGTTACATTAATGGTTACTTTATATATTTTTTAAATCTTCACAGATCGCATTAGGCCTTGCATTGGCGTCTAAACGCCTTTATCTATACGCATTACAATTCAAATGCAGATTTGATATTTTTATTTTCATTGCAAGAAAGCAACCGCAAAGTAACGATTCGTTACTTTTCGAGTAACTATAACTGTAACGCCTCATTTTTCAGAATTGGTAACTTGTAACTGTAACTAGTTACGTTTTTAGCGAAAAAACTGTAACTAGGTACTTTTATAAAGTAACTTTCCCAAACCTGTAAATCTCTGTACAGCTTAGCACATATATAGAAATATCATACTGAAATAACGGATTGCGCTTGCGAAAATAATTGAAATTCAAAAATAAGTATTTGCGAATCGAGGGATCGATTGGCGTCACTCGCCGGACTTTATCTCCGCGGTGATGCATCCAGCAAAAGAATTCTTTCATGGGAAATCTAAGATACAATCAGACGAGAAATCCGGCAATATAATATAATATTATGCAAGGTAATTGTATTTCGGAAACAATATATGTACATATATTATATGTATAAATTTCTTTATAGAGAATGCGATAGGAAATAATGTCACATTGAAATTGCGCGCACGCGAAAGTGGTTAAAATTAAAAAAAATAAGAATATTCTTCAAGTCGCCAGCAGGAATTAACGTCGGTATTTTCGTGACCATGTCTGGCATTTTTAATAATACAGAAAATTTATTGCGAAAAATATTACCTCAGCCAGAGTCTGAATCTGGACTTCCCTAATACACTCTAGGCGGGCGTCTCACCAATTTGACTACTGAGGCATGTCAAGAGACGCCCGCCTAGAGTGTATAGGGTGGTCCAGGCTCAAACCCCGGCCGAGGTAATACTTTTCGCAATAAATTTTCTGTATCGTTAAAAATACCAGGCGTGGTCAAGAAAACACCGAAGTTGTTAGGAAAAAAACATTTGCGAATTGACGAAATCGGTCGGCTTGAATCAATGGGGGAAACCCCGCCGTGGTTTTCACACGTGTCGCGCAGAATGCAAGGCGTTTCAATGGCCCTCTTCTTCCGCAAAGATACACGTGTAGCCTAAATAGCTAAATTAGTCCAGCGCGTCCTGCTTCGCCGCACGTACAAAAATACGTGCTTAATGCACGACTCCGCGGGGTACTCTGGGGTACTTGAAAATTCTTACCGCTCGAGTTGTATAACTCACGTTAGATTGCACAACGTTGTAACGGCCACTTCCTCGGATATTTACTAATGAAGAAACGCCGCGCGAAGAAGCGACGGAAGCGATACATCACCGTTAATAGGCGATACTCAGACAATCGCGAGAGGAGACCGATATAGAGAAACGTTCGCGCTCGCACCCAGAAAAAAAGAGTTTCTTCGGAAACAAATTTGAATTTCGACCGTACTAGACTTTCGTTTAATTTCACGGAAACGACTTCTTTACCTTAACCAAAACTTAATTTCACCGTGACCTGCAACCCTTAAGAGAATTCACGCCCATTTCTTCGAATCGTAGCCAGCGTTTTAGTACAAGTAAATAAAGCTTTAATAGACTCAAAGAAACATGATCTCAACGTATATCACTTGTTTAATCTGACTAAATCTTTTTTTTCTGGGTGCGATTTCGTAACCGGGATTTGTGAATTAGCGCTGACGCGCTCGTAGTAAACGCGTCGGGCGGCAGCGGTGGCGGCGGCGGTTTAAATAAAGCGTAGCCGGCGTTATTCGATTAGGATCAGATCGGGCACCGCCGGGGCCCGTGTCCGCCTTATCCGCGCGCGCGAATCAAGATATCCGCGATGACGAATGGAGCTCGCGACACGTTTACAGCCGTTTAAATTGGTACAACGGCGAAGATCGGCGTATAAAACGCGAGGGTGGACAAGGAGCCTCGTGCCGCGTGTCTCGTTTCGCGCTGCGTCTCAACGTATCCTCGTCTCTGTTTCTTGACGTGGCGCAACTTTCCGACGTTGGAGCCGCGCAGCCCCGTCGTGATATTGTTGAAGAAAACAGACGAGAGTTTTGTCGGACAGGGCAGATTTAGAATTGTAGACATTGTTTTCACTCGCGGCGTCGCACCCGCGGCCGGATCGCGGGAAACGCGTGCGCGCGCTTTAATTCGAATACAATTCAACGAGCGCTGATAAGCGGGGCGAGAAGTAACGGGAGGTACGACTTGTGAGATCCTTAAGACGTCCGTGCGCCGCGGAGGACCGCGGCAGACTCGTTATTGTTTCTCGTTCTATCGTTTGTATGGTAATGCGTGCTCTTCGGAAATTTCGGTACGCCGTCAATGCGGCGGCATAAAAACGAATTATAAATTCAGATAAGAGAAGCGTAACAAGAGCGTGCAGCACCCCCGAGGGCACCGGGGCCCCAATTTCTGGTATAAAACAATTTTTCATAAAATTAATAGTGATCACGTACGGATTGCGTATTTTCATTGTCTAGACATTGAATAAAATAGACGCGCTAATAGTATTTTCCCAAATATAATCTAAATGATTAAATTAATTGATACATGAGATGCTAAATTTATTAAATTTATTATTATTCGCTAAGTGAATGCCATTTCTGTCTTTGAACTTCTTCGGTTTCACCCGAGGGATAAACCGCTGCGGGTGTGGTGTACAGATTTACGACATTACTGGGCATTACTAGGCATTTTTTCGACACCAGTTTGATAATTAGGCCTTGCTGGGCCACAACAAAGTCTCACCATGTGCTACCTGGGATTTTATACGTCACTTGCATCGTTTAAGAAATATATATATATATTTCTTAAATATAAAAAAATAGATACGGGTGAAATCCTGACGCGTTCTCGCGACGCCACCCTAAACCATCCGAGAGCATTCGCTCTCTACGGCTCTGTCTAGGTAGCGAAAACAAGTATAGGAATGAGAGTTCGAAACGGCAGACGGCGACGTGTCTTTCTATCCGCTCTCGCAGCCCGTACGACTCGCGGAGTCGTAAAAAAAGGAGGCAAAGTTTACTCGATACGTCATAAGCGAAAAATATGAGAAAAAGTGCACTCTCCCGCGCGCTCTTTATCTCAAAATACCCCGTGCCCGCGATTTCTCGTAAAGGGAGACCGATAATCTAAACACGGGGCTTCGCGCGCGAGACGAGGCCTCACTCCCGAACACGCGGAACATCCGCGGGACGAGGAGTCGGCTCGGTCGAGTCACCGCGTCCGAGCACGCTCGCCGCGTTCGCGGGCAATGCATCATCGCGAACAAGGGTCGTCCGAAAATATCCGAGGCGATCGCAATCAGCGATTTGAAATCCACGTAATTTCGCCGAGCGCGGTTTTGCCGACGCCGCGTGCGGCGAGTCCCTTCGACGTAAACCGCGAATAAGCGTTCGCGATCGTTCCCGCGCGTCTCCGCGGTGTCGAAATTTAAAATTCCCGGGGTTACGTCTCCCCCGACCCACAGCGACGGAGAACTTTGCAGCGTCGCATACAGAAAAAAAAATTCTAGGGAAACTTGTGGCATGCATATGGTAATATATTTTTGGAAAAATTGCGTCATTATCGCTGAATTTGATAATAATAACGTTTAGTAATAATCATGAACATTTTGAAAGAGTAAATTTTGCATTTGCACGAATTGCACGAATATAGCGTGTCGGTTATATACGGTCACTGGTGTCACTGCCTTTTGCATAAGATAAGTGTATTACACAATAAACAATGTGCAATACATAAACTCGATAAATATTTAAAAAATATTCCGAACGAATATTCCAAAGACATTCTCGACGAATATGTAAAAAAACGTTCTTCTTTGTTATCAATATACGATTTCTAATTGTATATATAGAACATTCGATTGGAATATTCTGAAATAAAAAATATTTGCACTTCAGAAGAATATTCATAAAACTGCGTGTGCATGGGATTAACCGAGCTTGGGTTATTATAACCAAGCCTTTTTTCAATGCACCCCGAGTGCGGTAAACGCAAGAAGGTCGCCATTTGTAATTATAAGCGCGAGCGTGACATCCTGCACTTGCGTTCGCCGACGACGTGTGACGCGGGATTAGCGTTTATCGTGCGCGCAAGACACGCGTGTGCCGTCGCATAGAATCTCTATAATGATCTCTCGTAACTGCGCGCGAGGCAAGTTCATCCCGGTGTATATCCGTAATGATCTGCGACAATCCCGCGTGAACGGAGCTCGATTCTTGAATTCGTTCGCGGGAGAAAGGCGTGCGAAAATTCTGCTCTCGCGGAAAAGTGGAAAGTCGATTGATTAAAGAGCACGCGAGTGGCCAATCAGCTTGCAACTTGTATGTAAAGCCCGTATCAGACTGCGGATTGAAATTGAGATTAGACTTTTGACCAATCGAAGTAAACTTCGCTAAACATGAGATTAGTAAACGTTACTCCGATTGGTCAGATTTCAATCTAATCTTAATCTCAATCCGTAGTCTGATTCGGGCTTAAAAGCAGAATTTTCGCATACGTTGCTTCTTTGAACCGTAGACAGGAGGGACCTACGTTTTCCGGTGACAATAGAGACCGGCGGGAGGGAAAATGTGAGAGGAGAGCGGAGATCGACTCCAGCGCTCATGCTTGTCACTCGCGTGCACGCGCGATCGGCCCGGCGCGGCGCGGCGCGGCGCGGTGCGTCGAGAGGATTCTAGCCCGACAACTTCCTGGTTGCGCGTCGCGACGCCGTGGACGACCGGCAACGGCAATCCGTCATTCCGTCGTCGATTCGTTCGCTGACGGTCGGTCGATCGGTCGGTCGGTCTGGTCGGTCGACGGATGAGCGACGGCGGGCCGAGCGATGATCAGCCGCGGCGGATCGCGGTGGTCGCGGCGCGACCGCGTCGACAGTATCCTCCTCCTCCTCCTCTCGCTCGTCGGCGTGCGGCAACGGTGTCGTCGTCGTCGTCGGCGTCCTGTCCTCGTCCACGCTCCCGTCGATCTCGTCGCACGCGCACGCACATTTCCGGCGGCGACGGCCACTTCCCGCGCCGCACCGCGCAACCACGCGTACACACTCGCTCGGATCCGCGCGAGCAGACTCGCACGCACTGCGCGCACGTATCTCGGCTCGTCGGCTCGTAGCCGGGACACGGCGCGGCACCACGGCATGGCCACGGCACCGCCAGCGGCTTAGGAGACGAGGAGTCGGGCACGCTCCAGGAATAGAAACGCCGAACCGAGCGCGTTGCGGGCGAGCGCGTTGCGCCGCGCCGCGCCGCGCCGCACCGCGCCGGGAACGCGCTCGCCTCGCCGGAGACGCGAGAGACTCCACGCCGCCGCGTCCAACGTCCCTAATTTAGGACCGATTCCTACGGCGTCCATTAGCTCTGATAGGGGTCATTTTTATCTTCCGCTTTTTATCACGTCGAACGGACGATTTTTTTATACGCGGTACTTTCAGGTTGCGAAATTGAGGACGCCGGCGCGCGATTTCGACGATATTGTGTTATTACGTTGAAATACTTTGACGATCGCGGTCTATCCAGAAGTCTGTCCCTTGTACGTCCAATTATTATCCCTCCGAGCTACGCGAAAACAAGATGGAGAACCCAGATAGCCGCGAGAATCCGTCTTTACGATAGGCGCCAATTACGCGCCTGATCGCAATTAAATACATAAACGACGTGTCTGTCATGTCATATCGGGCTGACGCGGCGTTCGCGTAATTTATTTACCGAGCATCCCGCGTGTTTCCCGTGTCCATTACTTGCTGATGCTCGTAGCGTCGAAAAATCGTCGTCACAAAGCGAATTAGATGGAATGAACCGGGCGATCCCCATTTATTTATAAATATTCCGGTAACGTTCGATGCACGGGTGTATTCGCGGGATAATTTCGCTATTTGAGAGTTTCTCATTGTTTAAAAATACATCGCGCGTGTCATGAACCGCCGCGACTTTTACCCTTGTTTATTCGTTAATTATTTAGTCTTTAAAAATATATCATGTGAATACGTAGCGGCCGGAAATAAAAAAATATGTATATGATTGCATCACGTAGTGCATCGACTGGCTGTGGATTTTATTCACTTATTAACACTCGACTGGTTAATGTTCACTGATTTGAACTGAATTTTGCAACCAAAATTCGTCACATTAAAATGCCAATAAAGTACATTTTATCGTATTTATAATTTTAAATTAATAGAAAAAGCAATTTAATTTTCGTAAAAAATATTGAAAGATTTAAGTGTAATTCCCGATGTAATTATTAAATTGTTACATTTATTTTTTACATATTGCATTTTACATGTAACGAGTTATGTATGTTTCTTTTTATAATGCAATCGATCGGTGATCGATCAATTGGTAAATTAAGAAGTTCAGGAAACTGTATTTACCGACGTGGACGTCGAGCAATAGATGTTGAGCAGAGGGCGCCTGTGACACAGCTGTTCTGTTTCTTTAAATAAATCCGTGATTTTACACTAGGATTTTACCATATCCAAGTCACACTATAATATCATAAATCTGCATTTATAATTTTATCATATTTATGTCACAGAATTTAAATCCGCATAATTTAACTTTTACTACATTTAAATCCAAGGTTGGGAAGTAACTCGTTACTTGTAACAAAGTTACAGTTACTTCTTTTTGGTAACTTTAACTTAACTTCGTTACTTTCTCTCTATCTGTAACTGTAACTTAACTCAGTTGCATTAAGAGTTACTTTATGCGTATTTTAAATCTCCACAGATTGCATTAGGCCTTGCATTTGCGCAGAAACGCCTTTATCGACACTTTACAATTCAAATGAAGATATATTTTTATTTTTATTGCAAGAAAGTAACTGCCAAGTAACGATTCGTTATTTTTTTAGTAACTGTAACTGTAATGCATTACTTTTCAGAATTGGTAGCTTGTAACTGCAACTAGTTAGATTTTTAGCTAAAAAACTGTAACTGTAACTAGATACTTTTATAAAGTAACTTTCCCAAACTGTTTAAATCCACATATTAAGTAACTTAACAACAAGTTTATCGACAATTTACACTGAACAATTATTTTAAATTATATATTTATTTTAAAATATAATAATGTAATATGAAGACTGAAAAAGAAGTTTACATCTCAAATCTCTTTTTCGAAGAGAATTCTTTCGCCAACGGTCAAATCACGTTGAACCTACAAGTTCTCGTCCGATCACTTCAGTCAAGCAACGTTGAGCGCGGTTAGTACTTAAATGGGTGACCGTTTGGGAACACCGCGTACTGTTGGCATCTTTTTTATACATTTAATATATTAATATATACATTAATATATTTAATATATTTTTTGTTTTAAATCTATATGTATATATTTCATATTGTTGTTCAAATTCATCTGTTTAACATAAAGTAACTTTCCCAATCCTGACAATAGTAAAAAAATGAATGTTAAACTCTTCAAATATATAAATGCAACTTTTGAAGAAAGAGCAGTTTCATGTAAAGATATGATACTCGGATCGCGATAGTAGCATGCGAGTAATAATTCTTACGTCAGAGACGTTCTACCGTGTGTAAATAATGATGCTTCTTTACAATTAATTATAAGCCTGTGTGAATCATTATACGAGATACGCTGAAATTACGGTAAATCAGGTAATGAGAAGCCGGAATAATTGGATACCTGTGAAAGATAAGTGAAACATCGTTTATAATCATGTTTGCAAGATTTGAGAAATTAATCTTAACCAACGCAATTAAATTATTTATAAATGTAATAAATTGAAAAGTCGATCTAAAATATCGATATAACGAATATTATTCAAGTTTTCTCGATTCAATTAACTTCAAATTTTGTTTTAAAATCTTGTAACAATTCTCTCTAATCGTATAGTTTCAGTCGTGCTGTAACGCATGACTTATTAGAACTGTTTAAACTTTAATTTATTCGTAAACAAACGTAGAAAATGCGTCATCAAATCATGCGAGCGCGATTACGCAATGTCTGTCTCGATCGTGAATAGAAAAGTTAATACTACCCTGATACTAAAATAAATCTCGCGCGTATATCTAACAAAGTACAAAAGCAACTATGTACCGTAATCCAGTTTCGATGTCTTTTAATGATCCTTCATAAGTATTTCCTTCCTATTCGCAAATACATTTACGAATAACATTTACGAATTTTTTACTGAACTTTAGTACTATTATTCTATATGAATTAAAAACTCGATTTAGCGAATATAATATGAACCAGTAAATCAAATCAGGAAGTCATCTATCATTTTTATTTAACTTTTTTCCGTGTTTGCAATTTTTCTTTATTTTTTCTTTATTTTATTGTATTCAAACTTCAATAAAAAAGTTAAATCTCACAAAATGATATTTAATCGGATATTTTTCTCAGTGTAGAAGTTCAAAATAATACGATTTTTTTTACAGCAGTTAATATTTGCTGAAGAAACAAAAATAAGTATATGCAAATGTTAAACAGATGAATTTGAACAATATGAAATATATGTAATTTAAAACCTTAAAAAATATATTAAATGTATTAAACAAATATATATTAAATGTATAAAAAAAAGATGCCAACAGTACGCGGTGTTCCCAAACGGTCACCCATTTAAGTACTAACCACGCTCAACGTTGCTTGACTGAAGTGATCGGACGAGAACTTGTAGGTTCAACGTGATTTGACCGTTGACGAGAGAATCTCTTCGAAAAAGAGATTTGAGATGTAAACTTCTTTTTCAGTGTTCATATATTACATTACATTATATTTTTAAATGAATATATAATTTAAACTTCAACAAAAAAAGTTAAATATCACAAAATGCAATGAAAACAACAAAGCAGTAGTTTCGATATTAGATACATTTGATGTCTCTTACAATTAATTTGAAATTTAACGTTTGATGTATCTCTCCTATTTCATAGTGTGATGCAACGAGCAGACGTAGCATACTGGAAATTCGTTTCCATATTGTGAATCATATCACATCGTTGTTTAATTTCTGTGAAATGAAAAACGATGACTCGCAAAAGTTCATCCTAAATTGCTTCAGCAGTCGGGCATGTTGAACCATCTTACAAATCTTCAACCAAGTGCGATCTGTGTTACGGTGTGGAGGGACCTTTACCGCGAGTCGCGCCAACGAGCGTCGCGTTGAAATCTCCGCATTGTCCCACATACGCCCAAGGCAGAAAAATCACGGACTTCAGCTTAGGTTGTTCAGAATCTTTAATCTTTGCACATCTTCGCTCGCAGTTACAATGAAACTTAAATGCTAGGAATTTTTTATGAACGAATCCACGATTCCGAGTGGAAGTCTTGTTTGACAACAGCGCGTTGTCCGTGGAACACAAAGGGGCAAAAAATCTCGCATAAAATGTGGCGGACGCTCAACGATGAGCAAGTCTGCATTGAAATTAAGATTTTTTTCTGTGTCTCTCTCTCTCTCTCTCTCTCTTAATGGTTTCTATCTTTAGTATCTCGAGAATATTAACACTATTTATCACATCTTACATAAGATAATACAAACTTGCGCGTAATTACGACCGACGGATAAATCCCGATGTGATTATTAAAATAGTAGCTTGAAAAGAAAGCTGTTCTCCCTACGGTTGGTCCCTACTTTTGGTCGTCGCAATCTGCGTGCAGTGACCATTATAACTATTCGCGCTAAGGCCGTATTGCAAATAACGCGGTTTTCTTGCGGTCCAGGATGACGCAATCTGTTGGCAGCGAAAGTATCATGCAAACGCATACGCGTTAGAAACGCGAGGACAATTCGCATTGAAATTATAGAAAGATAAAATTATATACTGGACGGTACCGGAATTCTCCGCTTTAATTTCGACAGCAATGAATGTCGCAATCAATTTTTCTCAAGCAAAAATTACAATGGGTCGTTCTTTGTCTTTTCTTGTACAGAATATTGGTTGTGCCAAACGTGTCAAACGTAAAATTTAGCCGTAGAAAAATCGATACCAAATGATACCAGCGCGAAGAATCATGTTTCTGCCGCTGAAATTGAAACCGAGAGTTCTAGAACACTCTATATAACAGCTAACAGAGATTTATATGTGATCCAAATCACGCACTTTTCTAATGTAGCCTCTTCTCCCTTAATTGACGTGTAGGGAATAGCAATGACGCGTATATCACTCGTAAAGTGCCTGTTTCGTCGAATGGATAAACGTTCGCTGAAAACGTCGCGACAGGTTCGTAACGTGCACGTCACGATAAGTTGCAACTTCATCGGTCATTTTATGCAGACAGGCAACGGAAACCGCTTAATCCGATGTTAACAGTTAGATTACACGCTGCACCTTTTTCCAAGGCCGTCACGACCGACGAACCGAATTCTCGATTATGTGAACGGAATAAAAATCGATACGCTTTGAGCGCTTCGAGCAACCGGCGAACACCTATTGAATATGGTACAACTACTTTTCATCATTTTGTCTCTAATGAAAAAAAAATTTAAGGTCGGAACACCCTTTATATTATACACGCCTATTGTATTATATACATAAATATATAATATAAAGCGTATATAATATAAAGGGTGTTCTGACCTTAAATTTTTTTTTCATTAGAGACAAAATGATGAGACGCAAATGTGAAAAAATTTATTTTATTCTTTAAAGATGTAAAGTTAATTTTTCTTTTTTCAAGATAGCTGAAGTTAAGATATTAATTTTTATAATTTGAGAATAAACCCATTCTCGACAACTCAATAACTTCAGAGTTCTCGTGTTCACATATCAAAAGACAGCTAGAATTTCATTTCGCGAATGCGCATACGTTCGAGAATTACCGTCAGATTACTTTACAAATAATCACTTTAAATAGTTGTGTAAAAAGTAGTTGTACCATATTCAATAGGTGTTCGCCGGTTGCTCAAAGCGCTCAAAGCGTATCGATTTTTATTCCGTTCACATAATCGAGAATTCGGTTCGTCGATCGTGACGGCCTTGGAAAAAGGTGCAGCGTGTAATCTAACTGTTAACATTGGATTAAGCGGTTTCCGTTGCCTGTCTGCATAAAATGACCGATGAAGTTGCAACTTATCGTGACGTTACAAACCTGTCGCGACATTTTCAGCGAACGTTTATCCATTCGACGGAACAGACACTTTACGAGTGATGTACGCGTCATTGCTATTCCCTACACGTCAATTAAGGGAGAAGAGGCCACATTAGAAAAGTGCGTGATTTGGATTACATATAAATCTCTGTTAGCTGTTATATAGCGTGTTCTAGAACTCTCGGTTTCAATTTCAGCGGCAGAAACATACATGATTCTTTGCGCTGGTATCATTTGGTATCGATTTTTCTACGGCTAAATTTTACGTTTGACACGTTTGGCACAACCAATATTCTGTACAAGAAAAGACAAAGAACGACCCTTTGTAATTTTTGCTTGAGAAAAATTGATTGCGACATTCATTGCCGTCGAAATTAAAGCGGAGAATTCCGGTACCGTCCAGTATATAATTTTATCTTTCTATAATTTCGATGCGAATTGTCCTCGCGTTTCAAACGCGTATGCGTTTGCATGTATAGATGTAAAGCTAAATATAAAAAAGCAATAGACCACTCGAAGAGGTATTAGCCTGAAAAGTGATTCTAACGCAATCTTGGTATGGACGCGAGCAAGTAAGATTTAGATCAATTTTTAGCACCCGTCATGTATAATTATAAAAATTAATATCTTAACTTTAGCTATCTTGAAAAAAGAAAAATTAACTTTACATCTTTAAAGAATAAAATAAATTTTTTCACACATTTGCGTCTCATCATTTTGTCTCTAATGAAAAAAAAATTTAAGGTCAGAACACCCTTTATATACGCCTATTGTATTATATACATAAATATATAATATAAAGCGTATATAATATAAATATAAATCTTACTTGCTCGCGTCCATACCAAGATTGCATTAGAATCACTTTTCAGGCTAATACTCCTCTTCGAGGGGTCTATTGCTTTTTTTTATATTTAGCTATTCTAATTTAGCTATTCTAAATATATTTTTCATAAAAATAAATTTAAATTTAGCTATTCTAAATATAAAACTATTTCGTTAAAAATCTCATTCAGTATGAGATTGAGTACAAGATCACTGCATTAATCTTTCCCAAGTAATTTGCGTTTATATATGTTAATTGAATTCCGCCAGATACAGATGTGCATGCAATATAAAAATATCTATTAAAAAACGACCAAAAATGAAATGCACATAATGTGCTTAGAAATAATTATTTGGAAAAGATTAATTACACTTACAAGGCGATTCAGAATATTCTTCTAACTTTTAAACAAATAAATGATAAAAACAATTACGACACATCATAAAGCAACCCAATTATACGATTGATCGGGAACGATATTTTTCTGTATCTGTAGTTTTTAAAAGTTAGAATAATCCTGAGAATAATAGTGAATCGCCGTCTACAAAAAGGATGCGCCGCGAGGTGCGAGTCAGTCCGTATTTAAACTAAAAAATTCTCATACTGTACAGCGCAAGGTACGCGTCCAAAGGTCTCGCAGTTACGCGGTCACGGGCTTCGAGCTGGTATTGCCCATTTTCTTCGTAAACTCCATAAGGAAATCCCTGTAGAGGAGAGAGTCCATGTTGGATGAGAGAATATAAAGTATCCACCAGTCGCCGAGGTCAACTTTTCTGCTGACGCTCTGACAAGTCTCGATGGGCAACAGTCTCGTAGACAGGTGCAGCAGCCTCGACCGTATTATCGGGGCAAAAATGATCAGCGCTCGGTATACCAGCAGACCGATTAACATGGCGCCCAGTATCAAGAACCAGAACCAGATAAAGATGTATGTCTTTTCGTTGACGATGTTCAACGGCAGAATGCAGAGAGAATCGTGTTGCTGTATTGAGCCCGAGGGTCCGTATTTGTGGAATATGCACTTGGTAACGCGGGGAAACACGTAGACCATGGGGTCAATTCGATCTTCTTGTGGTGTGTCCGAGAATTGCAGTACTCGCAGACCGTAGCTGAAGAATTCGCCTTCGAAGAATCGATTCATCAGATAGAGCTGGCCGACTATGTTGACGAGGCACAGAACCTCGCAGGCGAAGTACCGATACACGTACGTGTTGTGATTCTGTAAGCACAATTCGTCGCTGAATTAAAGCAAATTGGACTCAATGAGAACGAATTGGACTTAACGCGGTCATCTCCCTCTCTCATCATTGCCCCTCCCTCGTCTCCCTGGTCGTCCTCCGACATTATGCCTAAGTGACACCGGGACATCACGCGTAATCTATTAAACGCAATGCAGTACAACTTAGCTCCGTCGTAAGAAATTCACATTACACTCTAAGGAGAATTCAAATTAGAATTTACCAAATATTTTACATGCAAAAACCTTGCATTTGACTAGGTGAATAGATAGAATTTATCAAGCGTCTCAAGAAATTAGAATTGTATAATATCTATGGATGATCTGGATTAAAATTTCCCAATTGTTTAATATTTTAAAAATCTAATGAAAATCATATTTATCTCTTTAAATATTAGATCATTACAAACACTGCTTCTTTCAATCATTTTTAAGCTCAACAATTCTCGAGAAGTCTAAATTTAACCTTCGGGTATATTTTGGCAACATTCTAATGCGGGGATATTGTAGCTAACGATAACAATGACACGTGCGACGTTGTTGAAACCCAGTAAGTAGATATCAGTGACCACCAAGGGCGACCAGATACCGGCTAAATAATGGATCAGCTTCTACCTTCTCAAAACTTTTCGCACGTTACCACTTTCCATCTGCCAATCAATTTGCTCGATCAAACTTGTGGAGCCGCTTTTTGTTCGCGTTCTTACCCTGATGTGCATCATCAAGTAATCCATGAGAACACCCTTCTTCTTCTTTAAGTTGTCCTCGCTATCTATGCCACAATTCATTCCCATGACCAGCGCCTGCATCAGACCGCCCTCCCAGAAGCTCCACAGCCATTGCGGTATATAGCACAAGACCGCCTGTTAACAAAGATAATTATATTAATAGATAAACATTACGTGTAATGCCGCTACGCGTTACAAAAGTTACGAATGCAGATTAGGTTTTCATCTTTTTCCAATTCCCGAAACTGGAAAAAGGGTAAAAATGTGGGAGGATATGGAGAACGAAAAATACGGATAGTCTTTAGAAATAAGCAAATCAATAATTCACGAAATTGTCTTTAATAATTAGTCTGGATGGCCAATATATGTATATTGTCGAATATCCTCCCGGAAAGTCACAGTTATTACTTTCTACCGATGGCACGAACAGTGGTCAAAGTTAAACTCACGAAAAGAAAACAAGCTGTTAGTCTTTCGATAGATCTCACATGACTGTTTTTAGCGATGATCGATCCTTTATCAGGAATCAAGTTCAACGATCCCCTGCGCAAACAATCTCGTGCATCTCAGTATCGTATATTTAATAACCCTCCGAGATATCTAATTGCCCACAAAAAGTAACTTAAACCGAGATAAAAGTTAATCTGCATCGGTGCAAAATGGACACGAGTCAATTTTACGACGTCAATTGTGTTATATTTATCGATGAAATTTATCGAAGCGGGGAAAATGGGCTCAAAAGTTCGACATTATCTTCCTTCACAATATTTTCTCGCACGTACATATTGCGAATTTAAAAAATATAGAATTCTCTCTCTACTAAATCGCGTTCGAAAATGGGCTGAGAAATTACAGTGCATTTTTTTTTCAACATTTCCTTCCATCTCACAAATGTAACTGCATGAATCTTAACAGACGGATACCAAAACGACCATTTATGATCTCCTACGCGCGAGTCCGCACGTGGGCCGCGGTCGGCCGCCAGACACAAGGGACGAATCAGCGGGAAGACCGGCGGGCGAGCGTGAGGAAGGGACGACACGCCGAAGGAGACCTCCGAGGGTCCTCCGTTCTTGCCTGGCGCGCGTTCGCTGTGTCGTACGTGTGGCAAGATCGCCGATAAAAGAAAGGCGGAGAGATGGGGTTGTTTTCTGCTTACCTGGAAGAACAACACGAAGCAGACCCACTGATAATACGTGTAGTATTTCCTCGCGTCGACATCCCCGAAGTCGTTGGCCACTCCAGGATGGGCGACCTCCACGCCGACCTGCGGAAACACGAAACTTCAGCGGTGCGACGATAACGATGACACCGCGCGCTATATGCATCTCAATGCGCGATAAAGCCATTTGACCCTTCTTAGATGTCGATAACGAGAAACCTCCCCTCCCGCCGTCCCCCGCGTCGTTTTATTAGAAGTTAACGCTGGCACGTCTTCGCCGTACTCGGCAGCGCGTCTCCTTTGCGTAACAATGCGCGACTGACGAGCATTTTCTGACTGGATACTTTCTTGTGCTTAGCGGATTCTAATCAGGGAGATCAGACGCGTATATTACCACACGGGAAATTTTCTTTTAAAATTCATCCTGAAAATTATGTAACGAGGAAAGAGAATTTTATAAGTTTTTTCAAATTGTACCATATACATTTTACTCGAGGAGTAAACCGCTGACCAAAATCAGGTACACCAATGCCTATCTAATGCCCACTGAGCATTACTCTATCTTATTATCTTATTTCATTTATCTTGTTTTATCTTATTTTTAATGTCCCAAAAATGTTTAGTAATGCCCAGTAATGCCGCAAATCTGTACACCATAATGCCCTCAACAGTTTACCCCTCGACATTACTGGGCATTTTTGGGGCATTAATTTGAGTCGAGGCGGAAACCGCTAACCAAAATCTTGTACACCATGCCCAGTGGGCATTACTTTATCTTATTTTATTTATCTTGTTTATCTTATTTTTGATGCCCAAAAAATATCTAGTAATGGCTGCAAATTTGTACACCACAGTGCCCCCAGCGGTTTACCCCTCGACATTACTGAACATTACTGGGGCCTTTTTGGGGCATTAGTTTGAGTATTAGGCCTTGCTGGGGCATTATAAAGATATAAGATAAAACAAGATAAATAAGATAAAATAAGATAATAAGATAAAATAATGCCCGCGCCATATTGGATACAAGATTTTGGTCAGCGGTTTTCCCCTCGATTTTACTAGTAAAATGTATAATAAATATAATTACTAGTGAAATGTATGGCAAAATTTTATGAAGTTCTTTAAAATGTTGTCTCACGACCATATGATTTTCAAAGTAAATTTTAAAAGAAACTTCTCTCCGTGTACGCGTTCGCTTGCGAAAGGCCCAATTATATCGGGGTAATAGCAGTAGCACAATTCATATTTATTTTTTTCAAATTATTTCATTTATTTAATCTTCCTAATTAGGATATCGCAGGAACGATACTTTAACGGGGTCGTTGATAACACGTCATTGAACGAGAAAATGCACAAGAATGGGAATAATTGTTTCTCGTTTGCTAACTTGCTCTACCACAATTTTGAAAAATGTGCAGCTACAGTTGTAAAAAGACGGACTATTCTAGTACATTTCGACACATAACTACGACTATATGTAACGTGTTGGAGAAGTTTTATTGCAGTCAAAATAAAATGTAGCTCTCAGCTTTTCAAAGAAATTTCTTGTGTCGATTGGTCTTAAAAAATTATTAGCCTATTACGTGAAAATTACGACTTAATATCTGTGAAATAATGATACTTTTTTTTTAGTTATGTTACTCAGATTTATGACATTTTTATCAACGCAGTTTAACTTTAATCTCGGTTCAACTTACTTTATATCTTTTTCCAGTTTTACGAATTAGAAAAAGATAAAAAGTAATTTAAACCCAGGTTAAAGTTAATCTGCACTGGTAGAAACGGGCATTAACGATCTTTCAGATCGCTAATCTGACGTCAAGTTGGCAAATTCATTTATCAACTTTGACATGAATCATGGGAAACAATTATTCTCGTTCTTGGGTAAAAAAAATTGTTTCTTGTCGATAAATCAGTATAATCGATACCATCACACTTAGGCCCGGTTTCACCATACGTCGTTTAACTTTGATCTAAGTTTAATTCACGTTTGTCTCTTTCTAAAGTAACAGTTCGAAAGAGACAGAGGCTGAATTAAGCTAAGCTTAAAGTTAAGCGATGTTGATGAAACCAGACTTTATACACACATGAGCACAATCTCTTATCTTAAAAATATCACCGACTCAAGGCTAACTAAGGGAAGGGATGAATAAATTTGTTAAAGATAGCATTTATATATCGCAACGCAGCGGATTGAAAAAAAAGGCTTCCTCTCGCGAAGGTGACCGAGAAAAATTTACACGGCAATCAACATGGTGATTTTCATCGTCGTTTTTTCCACGTTCGCGTAAAGGCGACTTACCAATTCACACGTCTATAAATGACGTTGACGGCCGAATTTCAAACAACTTGCAGAAGCCTTGTATGTACAAGTTACAGTCGAGCATACTTACGTTGCGTTCACGTTAAATGCTCTTTTCGTTTCCTGTGATTCTCTAATGTTCGCGTGTACAAATTTCAGTAACAATGCAACACACGGGGCTACTTCCTTCGATTCGATTTCCTTGTACCATTTTGTTACATCGCGGCATGTAAGAAACTCAATTGTTCCGCGTATTTCAATCCAATTCGTGGCCGATTGCCTACAATTTCAAACATCTCGTTCCAATCTGTGTTGGATTAATTATCCCCGCCTCATTAATCATGTAAATGGCAAATTCCCTCTGCTTATCCTCGCGCGTCTGATGATGTTCAAACACTTCGGAGCGAAAATGTCGATCTCGTCAAAGTTTCCGCCGACAAATTCTACGAATACAATCCGTAGCAGAGTCTGCGCCTCAATCGCGGAATTCGAACGATTAAAATACCAAATTATCGATAACGATAAAGGGGCTGTTTACGATGTACAGATCGCGAGTGCCGTGATCTGCAAGATTCGCGCGTGAAAGACGCGTGTGACGAAGCCATATATCGAGTTTATCGCGTATGGAAATCGAATGCCGATCGTATTGTACCCGCTGCCGACCTATTTGATCTCGAAGTCTGTAAACGTGACAAAATCTCTCAACCGCGAAGCGATATCGCGTATCGAAGGCGATATTATGCTACAGAATGATGTAACGAGATGAGAAAATCGCAATACATCCGAGTCCGGAGTAGCCAAATAATAAACTGTCGAACGAGTGTAAAGTGGTTTCATTGTCAGATGCACGGCAGATGCATGGCCGAGGGTTAAACCGCCAACCAAAATCATGTACACCAATGCCTACTAAGAGCCACTGCTAACCGAAAGTTAATTAATTCTGTCTCTTTTTAAATAACTGAATAGAAAAGCTCACAAATAGATTTAATATCGCCAGGAATATAAAACAAATGATAAGTAGTTTTTTAAAACCGACCTACACTGGCCAATGTTTTTATTTAAAAAACAAACGACGTTTCGGTCCCGGATTTGGACTTTTCAAGTAATCTGCAAACGTATAATACATAACTTGGCACTAAGCCTTAAGGCACGGGTTTTCATTGTCTGGTTAACTGTTAATCAGCGGTTAATCGACTCTCCATCTTTTCTTATATTATTATCTAATTGTAAGAAGAAACGGACAATCTCCTAAACTGGTTAATATTTAACCATCAAATGGAAAACCGGGCCTAAGGCATTGAAATTCGATAGTAATGCCCAGTGGGCATTACTTTATCCTATTATCTTATTTTATCTTTCTTATCTTTCTAGATTCTTTATAAAAGTCATGTATGTACACCAATGCCTACTAATGCATTGAAATTCGACAATTACTATCTTGTTTTATCTTTGTAGATACTTTATAACGCCCCAGCAAATAACACCCGCTAATGCCCCAAAAATGCCTAGTAATGCCGCAAATCTGTACACCACAATGCCCTAAGCGGTTTACCCCTCGGCTACGGCTTTCTAGAAAAGAAACCACCGCAGAGATTAGCTATGCCCGCGTTTGACGGCTCTCGGCCCGATAAGTTGCGCGTCAGTCGGTAATACAATCTGTATTCGATTTCCGTATGTGATAACTTTGCGATATACAGTCTCGTACGTATATGTAACTTTTGTTCGACGCGCGAATGTCGACGAATATCGAATACCCAGTGAGAAATGATTCGTCGATCGATATCGAAACGATGTCGAATCGACGTCAATTTGACGGTATTGATGTCGATTCGACATCGTTTCGACATTGATCGACGAATCATTTCTCACTGGGTAGCGGCGACATTTACAGAAGCTGCCGATTAAACAGTGGACAAAGTCCAAGTACTTCAAAATAGAAGAAGAAAAAAGGTTAACGAAGTAAAAACGCTTTCGTGGAACGGACGAGAATTAGATACTCGTAAGAGAATGGCGTGCACCGAGGATGCACTTTCTAAGTAATTTAAAGTGATTGTCATCGACTGGCGGTTATGTAACCAAAGATTGGCTCGTTAATCACTTCTCTTGAAACATCTTCCACAGATACTCGCGGAGTAAATCAACCGTGCTCGCGCAAACGTTATACGGTCGACAAATGTTGGCCAGTCTCTACTAATGCAGATTTAGATCCCGGTTTAAATTACTTTTTATCTTTCTTCAATTTGAAAAACTCGAAAAGGAGATAGAGCAGGAGAGTTACGAGATTCAAATTAAACTGCATTGGTAGAACCGAGCAAGAGGTAGCGAGTGGTCGTGAAAACCTTTTCCTCCGCGAAATTTTTAAGAAAATTTATTCGCAAATGGAGAAATGGCGTGCGACGAGAGCTTCGTCTCAAGTAAACGATACACAACGCGTTACTGTAACACGACAGACAATACTAGCGATCGCATTGCGCTTACTCCATTAATTTTAAGTAACAAAATAGCCACGGTAAAAAAAAATGGCTTTACCAGCAAATTGGCGGCAGATCCGAGCATGAGAAATTGCAGTGGACGTTAAACCGCGATCATCATTTGATTTCCGCGGCTAATCCACCGTCATATTTGACCGTCAAACTTCACTTCCGCCGACAGCGCGCTGCAAATTTCTGGGACTCAATCGTGAATCTTTTTCTTTAGCGCGAACTCGTGAGAAGTGAAAAAACTTTATCGATAATTATTAAACTCGTCAACAAAGTTTTTTTCACTTTTCACGAGTTCACGCCGGAGAGAGAGAGAGAGAGAGGAGAGAG